TCTCGCCAAGTTGCCCAGGCGGGTCTTGAACCCGCGGGCTCAGGCAATCCACTCACCTCGGCCTCCCAAAGCACGGGATTACAGGACTGAGCCACCATGTCTAGTCTGGAGAAAAATTTTTTAAAAGTTGATTCATATAGCATTCCAAAACCCAGGATAAATCCTCATGGGTCAAAAACTTGAAGAAATGAAACTATAAAAATTCTAGAGCAAGCCCTGGGCAAATTCTTCTTTAGCTTCTGTGGGAACAACGTTTTATGACTATTGCTCAAGGTGCAGAAGCCATAAAAAAAAGATTAATACATGCAATTCCATAAAAATATTTTTTTTCCTGTATGGCAAAAAAAAAAAGCCCAAAGATGGGAAAAAAAAAAAAAAAAAACCCTGGAAAAAGTTGTGTAACTCACAGCACTAATGAAGGACTACTTTCCATAATAGAAAATAGTTCAATAAAAACCAACAATCCGGTGGGGAAATGGTGAATGGATCTGAACAGAGAGTTCACAGAAAGGGAAATTCAAATGCCTCCCAAACATAGGAAAGAATGTATAACCTCACTCACCATAAGAAAAATACAAATTAGGCTGGGTGCAGTGGCTCAGGCCTGTAATCCCAGCACTTTGGGAGACCTAGCCGAGAGGACTGTCTGAGCCCAGGAAGTCGAGGCTGAGCAACTTGTCGAGACCTCGTCTCTACAATAACTAAATAAATAAATAATTTAGGCTGGCATGGAGGCATGCGCCTGTAGTCCCAGCTACTTGGAAGGCTGAGATGGAAGGATCACCGGAGTCCAGCAGGTCGAGGTTGCAGTGGCCATGATCCTGCCACTGCACTCCAGCCTTGATAATGAGAGCCCGACTCAAAAAAAAAAAAAATTGTTCTTGATATGGTGATAGTGGTTTCCTTTCTTTCTTCCTTTGTTTGAAACAGAGTCTCACTCTGTCACCCAGGCTGGAGTACAGTGGTACAATCATAATCTAACTCCTGGGCTCAAGAGATCCACCTTAGTTTCCTGAGTAGCTGGGACCTACAGGTAGGCACCACCACACCTGGCTAATTTTTTTTAAATGTTTTTTTTTGTAGAGATGGGGTCTTGTTAGGTTTCCCAGACTAGTCTCCAACTCCTGGCCTCAAGTGATTCTCCTGCCTTAGTCTCCCAAAATGCTGGGATTATGGGTATGAGACACTATGCCAGCCAGGAATATAAATTTGAATTTGTTTATATATACACAAATAAATGGCCTTTGAAAAATATTAAGATGTAGGCCAGGCTCAGTGGCTCAGTCTGTAATCCCAGCACTTTGGGAGGCTAACACAAGTGGATTGCCTGAGCCCACGGGTTCGAAACCAGCCTGGGCAACTTGTCAAGACCTCATCTCTACAATAAATAATAAAAGCAATTGTCCGGGCATGGTGGCATGTGACTGTGGTTCTGGCTGCTCGGTAGGCTGGGGCGGAGGGATTGCCTGAGCTCAGCAGGTTGATGCTGGGGTGGCCAAGAGTGACAGCCTGGGTGACATAGAGTGAGACTCCAACTCAAAAAAACAGAAAAATACTGAAATGTGAACTGAGCTCATGGGATCAGAGTAGGAGAAGACTTTTCACTGGGTGTTTTGTTTTGTTTTGTTTTTTGAGTTGGAGTCTCACTCTGCTGCCCAGACTAGAGAGTGCAGTGGCCGCTCCCAGCCACCGCAGCCTCGACCTGCTGGGCTCCGGCGATCCTTCTGCTCAGCCTTCCAAGTAACTGGAACTACAGGCGCGCGCTAACATGCCCCGCTAATTTTTTGATTTATTGTAGAGATGAGGTCTCACCGAGTTGCCCAGGCGGGTCTCGAACCTGCGGGTTCAGGCAATTCACTCACCTTGGCCTCCCAAGGTGCAGGATTACAGGCTGAGTCAACGAGCCTGGCCTGTTTTTTGTGTTTTTTTTGAGTTGGAGTCTCACTCTTGTCGCCCAGGATGGAGTGCAGTGGCACGTTCATGGCCACCGCAGCCTCGTCCTTCTGGGCTTAGGAGATCCTTCCACCTTAACCTTCCAAGTAGCTGGAACCACAGACATACACACCAGGTGTTTTTTAACACTTTAAATGTTTTTGAGCCACATGCATGTATTATATACTAAAAAGCTTTAACGAATTCCTGTCTTAAATTTTAAAAAGTTCTGAAATTAGTTAGTGGTTGTACAACTTTATGAAGATACTAAAAGCCACTTTTAAAAAGGGTGAATATTATGTTTTATGAACAATCTCAACTAATCTTTTTGAAAGAATTATGGAGGTGGCACATAACATCAGCAAGGGTACTTGATCTCAAACAGGCAAAGTGGGGACCAAAGGGAGACCCAAACTTCAAAATAAAATAAATAAAATAAAATAAAAAAGAAAGAGCTATAGAAGAATGACCAGTTGTCTGCCAGGAGGCAAAAAGAAATAACTTTCCAGGCACAGGGAACTTTGTGAAAAAAGGCAAGGAGGGACTGGGTGCAGTTGGGAGGCTGAGGTGGGAGGAAAACAAGCCCGGGAGTTTGAGGCCAGCCTGGGCAACATAGTGAGACCTTGTCTTTACAAAAAATTAAAAAATTCGCTAGGCATACTGGCACATGCCTGTAGTCTCAGCTACTACGGAGGCTGAGGCAGAAGGGTCACCTGAGCCCCGGAGATCGAGGCTGTGGTAAGCCGTGATTGCGCCGCTGCACTCCAGCCTGGGCAACAGAGTGAGACGACTCAAAAAAAGAGGGAAAAAGAAAAGGCAAGGAGGTGTATGAAAATGCAAGGCCTGAGAGGAATGAGGTCATTTGATGCAGGTGGGAGTCGAGCCAGAAGCCCACAGGTCTCCTGTATCACAGTAAGGAGCTTGGACTTCATCTCACAGATCACAGTCATGCAGAGAGCAACCCGACTGCATCTCCTCCAGAAAAAGAAGCAGATGAGAAATAGCTAGGGGACGCCCTGGTGGCAGGGGCACTGGTTAAGAGGTTATTGTCTCTGTAATCCCAGCACTTTAGGGGGCAAGGCGAGAGGACAGCTTGAGGCCAGGAGTCTGAGATCACCCCGGGCAACACAGTGAGATCCTCTCTCTACAAAAAAAGATGTATTTTTCGAAGTCCTCATCAGAGAGACAACGAGGGCAGGAATAGATCAGGAGCAACGGAAAAGGAGAATGAGAGAGCCTTAGGGGAAACATAACAACAGAGTCTGGGAGCCGTTTCAGGGTGATGGCAGGGGAAACTCACGGCAGAAGCTGCTATTCCTCCAGAGTGGGGGTTTGAGCCCCTGGCTCTGGCAGGCGGCTCCGAAGGCTTGCAGAGCCTCGCAGAGGGCACTGTGTAAGCCTCCAAACTCACAGAGGTTGTTTGTGCAGCCCACCAGGAAGGGCTTGAGGACCACACGGGAGGCACACTGGGCCCAGGTGGGAGCCCCGAGGGCTGCCTCACATTTTTCCCGGGCCCTGTCAAAGTCAGCTGGTCTGCAATTTCCACTCAGGTTCTCTGGCGGTTCTGTTTGGATCTGCTGGTCAACTACTTGGATGTTCTGACAACTGGAAAGGGAAAAGAAAGGGATCAGCACAGGGACGGCACCGTCTCTCCTATGCCAATGACTTGACGCTCCCAAATGGCCTCCCCAGCCCTCCTGTCTGCACGGGAAGGCTGGTCTGAGCTCTAGCAACCTTCCATCAGCATCATCTTCTCCCAGGTGTCTAAGTGAGGAAAGAAGACTTCCACAAGTTCCCAGATGGGTTCTAAACAAGCTCTGAGGCCCAAATTAACACGCCCTCCCAGAACGCCCAGGAGCTCTGCCTCCTCAAATCACACATGTAAAGGAACACTATGGTGGTCCCATCCCAGGTGTTCCCTATGGTCTAGCTTCCCAGCTCATGTTGCCAGGAAAAGGTAGAGGGTCTTAGGAGACCATTACTTTGGGTCGATATCCTTATCCTTCCAACTGTTCACAAATTCGCCATCACTCTGGGTGAGTTCATCACTGGACATCATTAGCTCATCCTCTTCCTCGCCGTTGAAATTCCCGCATACACCGCAGACCTGGGTGGGCAGGGGCATTTTCGGTGCTGGGGAGGCATGAGAGGATTTTTATGGGAGGACCCTCGTCCACCCTAAATAGAAAGGTACACTCGCTGGGTTCAGTGGCTCAGCCTGCAAGTAATCCTGTGCCTTTGGGAGGCTGAGGTGAGTGGATTGCCTGAGACCGGCCTGGGCAACTTGGTGAGACCTCATCTCTACAATAAGTCAAAAATTAGCTGTGCGTGGTAGCGCGCGCCTGTAATTCCGGCTACTTGGAAGGCTGAGGCGGAAGGATTGCCGGAGCCCAGTGGGTTGAGGCTGCGGTGGCCGGGAGCGGCCACTGCACTCCAGTCTGGGCGACCGAGTGAGACTCCAACTCAAAAAAAAAAAGGGAAAAAAAAGAAAGGTACACTCTACAACCCTCCTCCGTTCGGTGCCAGCGCCTGCTTGGCTACCTGCCTTCAGCAGGAATGCCCCAAGCGAAGCCCTCTTTGGTCTGGCGGGATGTGAATGCTGTCCCATCCCCCGAGGCTGCCTGCCCCAAGGACAGAGCCGGGTATTTTCCTTGCCTTTCCATAATAGGCTGCAGGGATTTGAATCTCTAAGAAATGATTTCCGTCAAACTTGACTTGCACTCCAATCCTAAAGTTGACCAAGGTGTAGCTGCCGCTGGATGTGACCCGGACCCCCGGGATCTGGGAGACCGCGGGAAGGGTGACCTGTTTGTCATTGATCTGAAGAAGAAAGCGGGTCCTGTGAGGAGGAAGAAGGACCAGAGTCCTCTTCCCAAGAGCTCCCTCCTCCGTCTGGGCCCCTGTCACCCCGCCCAGCTCACCAGAACATGGTGGTTCTTTTGCAGGATGATCTGGGAACTGGAGATGTCAATGTAGACCTGGTGAAGGTGGAAAGCCTCGGTTCCACCTTCCTGCTTCTCGTTCTTGGCACTGATCTTGAAGAAAGTCAGATCAATGGTGGGGTGGCACACTTTCATCAGGACATGCGGGCAGGTGTCCTGGATGGAATGGTTCCTGCCATCAAAGCTCACATACTGGAATTTCCCTGACAGCTGACACACTCCCATACCTGAGAGGAGAGAGAGGTGGCTGAGGGATTGTCCTACCTCTGGCAAAAACAGGATCCAAAGGCCGGGCTTACTCGGTGGCTCAGCCTGTAATCCCGCGCCTTTGGGAGGCTGAGGTGAGTGGATTGCCTGAGCCTGCAGGTTCGAGACCCGCCTGGGCAACTTGGCGAGACCTCATCTCTACAATAAATCAAGAATTAGCCGGGTGTGGTCGCGCGCGCCTGTAGTTCCAGCTACTTGGAAGACTGAGGCGGAAGGATCGCCAGGGCCCAGCAGGTCAAGGCTGCGGCCACTGCACTCCAGTCTGGGTGACAGAGTAAGACTCCAACTCAAAAAAAACCCCAAAAAAACAAGATCCTGGTCGGCCGCGATGGCTCAAGCCTGTAATCTCAGCACCTTGGGAGGCAGAGGCGAGAGGACAGCCTGTGCTCAGGGGTTCACGACCTTTTCTCTACAATAAATTAAAAAAAAAATAGCCGAGCATGGTGGCACATGCCTGTGGTTCCAGCTCCTTGGAAGGCTGAGGTGGAAGGATCGCCTGAGCCCAGCAGGTCGAGGCTGCGGTGGCCGTGAGCATGCCCCTGCACTCTAACCTGGGCAACAGAGTGAGACTCCAACTCAAAAAAATAAACAAAAACAAGGATCCCTTGGGAGCTAACCCTGTGTTCTCCCCACCTTCCCAAAACAAGGATGCAGTCCCCTAAGAGGGAAGAAAGACAGCATTCAAGGCCCAAGGGCCGGGTGGCGTGAGGCTTGGGGGGTGGAGGGGCTGAGATCTGTCAGGGACGGATATATACTATCCCATCTAACTTCTTGGCCATACGCAAGAAGGATGGGTGAACCCTGATTCTTTTTCTTTTTTTTTTTGAGTTGGAGTCTCACTCGGTCGCCCAGACTGGAGGGCAGCGGCCGCTCCCAGCCACCGCAGCCTCCACCTGCGGGGCTCCGGCGATCCTTCCACCTCAGCCTTCCAAGTAGAACTACAGGTGCGCGCTACCACACCTGGCTCATTTTTTATTTATTATAGAGATGAGGTCTCGCCAAGTTGCCCAGGCGGGTCTCGAACCCGCGGGCTCAGGCAATCCACTCACCTCAGCCTCCCAAAGGCGCGGGATGACAGGCTGAGCCACCGAGCCCGGCTGAACCCTGATTCTTAGCAGCAGGATGTCATCCTTCCCACCTAAATCTCATCGATGCAGCCAGGCCACCCACCCGGATCCAAGAGCCACAGGTGGCAGGGAGAGTGTGGGGGAGAGGGGAGAGCCGACCTTGGTGGATGTGCCCCCCTCCCAAGCACTGTGGCCTTCCTACCTGAGGCCCGGCAGCGGAGCAATCCATCCTGGGGCCAGCACATCTGGGTGGGTTTGCAGGTGGTTGGGTGGCAGGTGACGTTGTTGTAGACGGAGCAGGTGCAGAGCCTGGTGCAGGCGCTGTCTGTGTACCAGCTTTCTCCCACCTGTGGGCCAGAAGGATCCCCAAAGCCGATAGGAACTTGGAAGCTGGAGATGGACCGAGGCTCCTGGGGACCCCCACGAAGCTCACTGCAGCATGTGGTCGTCCTCCTTGTTCCCAGCCTCGGCCGGCCCTCTCTTTCCCAGGCTCTGAGCTCCCCCTGCTGCCTCACCTTGTCCTGCCCTCCCCCCCCCCGAACTTGTGGAGCTGGGGAGGACAGGGCCCCCTGGCCAACAGGCCTCTCACCAGGTGGTAGAAGCCCCTTGAGTCAGTGCAGCCACACTGGCCAAAGGGCACGCAGGAGGTTCCACTCAGAATGTGGCCCTTCTGACATTCGCAGCCCTCGGCACAGGGCAGCACCGCTGGGCAGTCCCCTGGGGTGCTCACGCTGAGGCAGGTGGCCGGGCAGGGGCTGGCACAGGGGCTGTAGGTGCTGCCAGGTGGACACTTCCGAGCTAAGGAAAACAAGAGCATTAGGAGGAACAGGGAGGCATTTCCAGCTCCCTGACCTCGGGGCAGCCCACATTCCTGGCAATATCCATGGACCCATGAACAGATAAACAAACCGTGGCCTGTTCGGACGATGGAAAACGATTCAGAACACTGTGACGCCTGCTACAACATAGAAGAACTCTGAGGACATTACGCCGAGGGAGAGAAACCCGTCACAAAGGGCAAATACGGCACGATTCTACTTATTTGAGGTACCTCGAGTAGCGAGATTCATAGAGACAGAAGGTAGGATGGTGGTTGCCAGGGCCTGGGGGGTGGGGGTTAGGGAGGGAACGGGAGTTATTATTGAGTGAGCAGAGAGTTTCAATTGTAGAAGAAGTCGTTCTGGAGATGGATGGTGGTGATGGTTGCACAATGGGTGTGAACATACTTAGTGTTATTGACGTGTACGCTGAAAAGTGGTTAGAATGTCAACTTATGTTATGCATATTTGACCACAATGTTTTAAAAAGGAGTTCCTGGGAAAGAGAGGGAGAAACAGAGTCAGGCCAAGAAAAAGGGGAAGGACACAGTCACCAAACAAAAGCAGAACTATTGGGGGAGGGAGGTGAGAATCAGACAGAGGAGGTCCCAGGTGCAGGGAGACCCTCAGAGGGTGCGGCTGGGCTGGGAGGGAGTCTGGGGTGGAAAACGGTGGAAGGGACGCGTTTTCCAGCCCAGACACCCCTAAGGACCAGGCCAGGCAAGGAAGAGCAGAGAAGCAGAATTTAGGGGAAGAAAGGGAGGACAGGGTTCTGGAGGATTCCTCCAGGCTGCGGAAGGGGGTGGTCAGGACACTCACGGCAGAAAGTTCTGTTCCGCCAGGCAGGAGCCTGGCCAGCTTGGGCGCAGAGGGCCGCATAGGCCTGCAGGGAGCGGCACAGGGTTGTGGTGTCGCCTTTGGTCCCACACTGGCCATGCAGGCAACTGGCAAAGCTGGACTGCGGGGACACCACCTGGTGGCACTTAGAGAAGGGTCCTGCGGAACGAGAGAAGCAGGATGCTGAGGGAAGTGGGCCCAAGAAGGCGCAGGGCCAGGCGGCTTCGCTGGGGTTATTTCAGCATCCACATGAATCAAAGCCTGGACTGACGGAGAACCTACTACCTGAACCATAAAGAAGGATCTGTCTGTCATAGCTCTTTTGTTTTGTTTTATTTTTTTGAGTCGGAGTCTCATTCTGTCGCCCAGACTGGAGTGCAGGGGCCGCTCCTGGCCACCGCAGCCTCGACCTGCCGGGCTCTGGCGATCCTTCCGCCTCAGC